TAAAATCCCCCCCCCCCCCCCACACACACACACATATATATATCTGCGTGTGTGTACGTGTGTGTGTGTGTATGTGTGTGTGTGTGCATCCAGCCTCCCAAAATCTTCCGCTCTGAAACCCTTCATCCAGACCTGTTCTTTATGGTATATTTAGCTGATGGGTTTTGGAGGGGTATTGAGGGGAATGCTATAGACGATTTGGGTTGGGAAATGTTGGGTCTCAACTTGGAAAAGAAAACATGGAAGTGACATTTTTGATTGTTTTATTTGTTGTGATCTTAAGAAACAAATTACATGTGGTTTAAGGGATTGCCAAACAAGGCATCCCCTATTCGCTTAATGGTTGGTTAAAACCATAGCAGCTTTGTCTTGCTAGGTGGCCCCATATTGTGCTTCAAAATGGGCTATTGAGGGTCTGACAAGATCGGTAGCAAAGGAGTTGCCAACTGGACTTGCCATTGTCGCTCTTAGCCCCGGCGTTGTGAACACCGACATGCTTCAATCATGCTTTGGCACTTCTGCCTCACTCTACCAGACACCCGAAGCCTGGTACACCTTCAATTTTTTTCTCATACTCTCCACTACTTCAGTTGTTTTCCTTATTTTCTTTCTTTCTAAGAGTATATAATCCCTCTGTCCCATAAAGAAGTTATCTATTTGACTTCACGTAGTTTAAGTAAAGTGGGTAGTCAGAATTTGTTTGGAAGAGAGAGATGCCATGAGCCACGTATATAAATCCTTAAAAGGAAAAAACTAAAAGTGAGTTTTTTTGGGGACATCACAAAAAGAAAGTGTGAACTTTTTTGTGGGACGGAGGGATTATGATAATTAATAAACCGTTTGTTATTACGAGTAAATATTTTATATATACGAGTAAATATTTGTCCTGCCTTTGAAAAAAATGATATGTTTCACAGGGCTCCAAAAGCAGCAACGATGATACTTAACCTTACGGTGGCTGACAATGGAATGTCTCTTACTGTTTGAAAGTCGTGCTTTTGCAACACACTGTTTAGGAATGGACGCTATTGTAGTCCGAGAGTTACCCCTTACACTTTAGGCCCTTCAGGGTGATCTGTGTGTAACCGGAGTATGTAATTCTCATTTTTACTGCTGGTAAACTTTTGTGTGTGTGTAGGAGGAGCATTATTTTGTGAGGGCAAACTTGGAAATTGAATATTAAGTGCACCCTCAGTTTGTTTGAATCTTATTGCATCAGTAGCCATTAGCTCTTTGAGACTCACTCTCCTGGAACTACCTAATTAGCAAAGAAAACTGATTGGTGTAAATTGGCATGCTTGTTTTCCAATTTCCATGAAAAAAGATGTTTTTGCCTTGAGGTGACTTTTTTGGCACCACATTGAAATGGACCTTAATTAGAATGCAACAACAAAAAAACCTTCCAAAATCCCACGAAATGTGAAGAAATTTAAGAAAAAGTTTTACACTTTCCCATGCCAAATGGGTTGTGCTTCTTCCATAAATAAGTGTTAAAAAAATATTACTAATACTAACAATTAAATCATGTGGTCTTGTAAACATCACTCACAATTAGGTTGACAATATGAGAATGCAATTAGGCTCACTATATGAGAACTTCTCAAGTCCATGAAGATATCTTCAAGTATCAAATCATGTCCCATTAATCCATTTTTTAATATTTGTTTGCACCACCATTAGAATCATCATTATCAATCTTGGCATAAATACCTTATTCCATACTACGTATATTATAGTACAAGTTGAAAATAAATTGAACTCATGAAATTGTATTTACTATGGAGTAATTTAGAATGGACTCAAGCAAGTATTACACTTTTACCCTTTGAAAAACGGATTACATTTTTATAGAATCACGGATTTCTCTTTTTTTAATTTAATTATATTAATAATTGTAAAATGAAACAATTTGCCTTATTTAGAATATAATCATTGCTTTGAATCATATCCGGAAAATATGTATTGAACTTGTGAAGTTTAAATTTATTTGCTATATTTTTTACAGAGTATTTTAAAATAAAATTTTAGCTCGTCTAATGTCTAATAGTTCTTGAGAAAATCCATAAATAAGAGTAAAATGTAATTACTTTTCCTAAATAGGTTCATGTGTTTTTAACATAAACGTACCAAAATATATTTTTAGAATTCAAAGCCTAATTCATAACCCATCACCTATTGCAACCCATCGTTGCCTATTACAATGGGCAATCACCACCACTGGTGCCCGTCGTCTCTAATGAAGCCATCTATCGGATGAACATTGTCCACCATTTCCTAGTGTTTCAATTGTCCTATATCATTCATCGACCTTGTTATCCCAATGTTCTCGATCATCTCTAAAAATATCCTCAAATCAAATATACATTATATACTATGAATCTCTTATCAGTCCTTTTATCCTAGGAAAGAGATTGTAAGTATGCACTATAGAGTATAGATCTTTTTTTTTTCACTCAAAAGAATACCGAGTATATGTGTGAACAAGTTGCATTACCCTTGTAGTGCATGTAATCGAGCAAACTTTGACTAGAAAATTGTTTTTGGCACAACAATAAACAAATTCAAATATCACCGCCACGGCGTCACCCAACTCTAAAAAATCAATATTCGCATATAAAGTTCAAGTTAAAACAAAACTGGCATGGACATGAAGGAACATGTTATAGTATGAAGCATTTTCTAGACCTACAATCATGAGTAACTTATGGTTGAATCGATTCTTTGACATCATTATCAAGAAGGTTTTATACTCTAACAACATAAAAAACGATCCTTCATTAGAATCTGAGTATGTTTTCATTTTCAATTAAAATGTAGAGGTCTATGACTCACCAAGTGTAGTAACTGTTCCAAAACATAGAATTTCTTTTACAAAACTTCCCATGCCAAATGGGTTATGCTTCTTCCATAGAATAAGTTAATGTTTTATGAACTATTAAGACTCTAAACCGAAGGGTGAAAAACAACCCAATGCACAACGCGTTGCATTTTTGCAAGAGGCTCCTTCCATGACTCGATCAAACTGGTGAGACAAAACTCTCCTTCCATAAGACTCTCGATTAGTACCTTAAAAAGTTATACTCCGTATTAAACAAGTGATGGTTTGTGCTAATTCACCATTCAAGGAGTTTCTATTGCCTCTCTGAGCTTTCTCCCCAGTGCAAATGCCAGAGGTGGAGGCACAGCATTGCCTACTTGTTGGTACTTATTCCTAACATTCCCCGCAAATTTATACGAGTCTGGAAATCCCTGCACGCAAGATTTACAACACAATGTCTTAATCATCATCATTAGCATTGTAATCCCAAGTATGCTGGGGGTAAACAGATTTGGTAACGGAATGTATTGTACAATATCAATTCAATGTCTAAGACTATTTACAACACCATTCAATTAGAAAGCATAGAGACAAAGTTGTACACGGGTTGGCCTTTTATGTCGCAGACTTATTCAACATTAAGGATGCACATTTTCTGAATTTGGGGAACATTACTGTTATTACACAATACACACTCAAATGAGTACAAGTCGCACAGCATCACGTGTGTTTAGCAACCATTTGAGGGCATGCATCAAATTCTTGCATTTAGCATTTAGGTGTTTAGTATGTCCCCTAAAAATTGGTCAAAATAAAATTTAATTCACTTTCCCAGCGTCCCACATGTCATTTTGGAAAGTGAGTGAAGTTTAAACTAGGTTTGTACAAATATGATGGAAAATAAACAGGTGCAAACTAATTTAATTTATATGGGAAAGTTATTAGATGTGCATATACCTGAGCTCGAGCATATTCGCGGACTGAGATCAGCCTATCCTGTTGAGGATGAAACCATCTCCCAACCTTTCCTCTTGGTTGAGGACAGGTAATAGCAGTTGGGAAGTTTTTTTCCCATTCTAACCTTCCTAGTACACCCTTTGATTGGCTACCTTTACTTTGCATCTTAATCAACCATTGGGGTTTCAAGTCAACAAACTTCCCACTTGCCAACTGAACCTGGAAAAACATGAAAACAAGGTGAGACTGTCATTCCTGTGTATAACTTAAAACCTTGAAAATTACCTTCTTTTTTGGAAGGTCTCTCCAATCAGCACCAGTAGAGAGGTATTGGCAGTGAATCAGATTTAATTCGCTCAGTTTCCTGGGAACGTGATCTGTTAGCACGGTCATGTTTCTTCTAACTCTTTTTTGGAACCACGAAACAGGATTGCCTTTGTACTGGACAAAATAGCAGGTGCAGCAACTTAAGAAACACATATATACTGTGAGGGATCAAATACATATTGCTCCCCCATCCCCCAATCCCGGCCCCACTGCCTTTCCTCAAAAGAATCAGATTAATCAAAGTACAGTTTTTATTTATGTATTAGCAATGTACAACCATTAAAAGTCATGAAATCATAAACAGATTTATAAAAATTAATTGTTTGTGTAACCAACTACATCAAACTAACTTAGTATGAAATATTAAATTCGTCTAATGAAACACAGAACTCCTTTTTGGGACAAACAAAAATATAATTACATTGCAAATTGCACTACAAGTGGGAATTTTGCAGCGAGATGGGTGAAGTATAACAATATTTTGGGACAGAGGGAGTGTGCAAAAAAAGGGTATTGTTTTGCAAATATTGTTTGTGAATCCGGAACTCTACGCACCTCCATGGTTGTCGCAGAGTCCCCATTTGTCAAAGCCGGTAGATCTCCGATAGTGTCTCTTACCGTGAGACAACGAAAAGGGGCACCGGCTTTAGTGCTGCCAACAGCTGTATAATGGGAATCTCCATTTAAATCTAACTTGATCCTCAAGTCTGGACCTGGAAAAGCATGCATAGGCTCGGGCCATTCTGGAAGGGTCTCTTTGGGTGAGGCCGCCCATATGAAAACACGTCTCCGCGATTGTGCTACACCATAGAATCCCGCTTCCAGGACTCCAAATCTCACCTGCCCGCAAATAAGGAAAAAGAAAAGGAACCCTAGTAAGGTTGACATTACACCAGAGTCCAGATATGCACGCACACGATACACACCCACACCTTTTTCTATGGGAAAAGCACTCTGATGCTTTATAAGTTTGTATGATTAATACTTAACAACACAGGTAAATGAGTATATCTTTTGAAGGAAAAAAACAGGCTGTTTATGTAGATCATGAATCCTACACATGTTTTTGAAATAAAAATTAGTATGTGACGTGTCTGTGACTCTTTTTTTAAGGACATATTACACTAAAAAGTAGTTCGATACTTTATTTTCTGGACAAAGACACTTTGACACTGGAATCTCTTTTTATGACAAGAGTACATTATATGATTATATCTATATACCTGATAACCCATTTCAAGAAGTGAAGCTATAGTTAGCTGAAATGGCTTCATATTATCAAATGAAACGAGATTCCTGACATTTTCAATGAGCAGAAACTTGGGCCTGAAGTAATCAACAAAGGATAAAAGCGACAAGATCATTATGCGTCGAACATCACTCGTTGAACTCTTATTGTGCCTGTTCAATAAAGAAAACCCCTGCAGACAAAGAGAAGCTCAGATGGATTTTTTTAAATTATTGCTCCATAGCAATTAAACAATGAACTTTACTATAATACTATCAATGGAAAAGGAATATAAATCATACCTGACAAGGAGGGCCAGCGATGATGAAATCCACTTCACCTTGTCTGGGCAAACTGTTGATTGTGCTGCTGTCAAGATGTGATGCTAACGCATTTGCCTCAGATGTTGGTATACAGTCACTAGCATCCCCATTTGCCATCATGATATCCCTGCACCATTAGGAGAGTGTTGTCAAACTGAACAGTTGTGTGTGTGTGTGTGTACTTCAGAATCTGAATAAGGAAATGAAAAGTTCATTATAAAGCAAGTTCCAACCTAAGAACCATGTTGCAATCTTTAACAACTGTAAAGGCATCTGGATGATTGAGCTTAAAAGCTTCAGCAGCAGTTTCTTCAGACTCTATTGCCCATTTTGTGACTGCTGCACCTGCAACGATAGGAAAGATTATGAAGATAGTGCTCAAGGATATAACATTTGCAGGGAAGCATACACTGGTCATTACCTGACTTTTCTAAACCTTCTGATAGACCGCCACAGCCTGCAAATATGTCGAGAGTGGCCAAAGAATTTATTGCAACTTTTCCGTTATCACCATTAGAAGTTTTGCCTGAGTCACCTTTCCTGTTCGTTTGTTTCTTTTTTATCTTTCTGCTAGCAGCCTTTTGTTCTAAACATCCTTTGGAAGGGCTCAACTTGATGTGGGATGGTAACTTTAGCAATAAAATGACGTGTGAGGAATAACAATTACATGACCAAAAAATATTTTCTTAAAAATCTCAACAAAGCCATAATTACCAGTTCTAAGGATTGATTTTCAGGGTCATATACAAACTGACAAAAGAAGGCATGCTCATATATGTAAGGGGAATCCATAAATTCAAAATCTTCCTTTTTCCTAACTTCACATTTTCCTTTCACCGCCATGACAGGTATTGTTTCTATACTTTTGCTGTAGTATACCTGAAATTCAAATTTTAAGAGCATGATAAAATAAAAAGGAAATTTCAAGAGAATCATAAATATGCAAACCTCATCTATACACACACAGGTGCCCCCCCCCCCCAAAACTCACACACACAAGTATCAAATGACTCCCCTCCAGTGATTCCTCTTGGACTTCACACTTTTAGGCATCGTGTTGGAGCCGAGGTCTGGCAATTGCCGCCGGATCTTACATGATTGGATTCATCAGAACATCCTCTACAATTTTAATGCTTGGACCAACTCCGATTTCGTAGTTTAGATATAGAAAAATTAGTCCAAAGTTTGCAAAAATGTCCATTTCATACATAGTTTTTTCTAATTTTTTTTCAAATTTTGGACTAACTTTTCATTATCTAAACTATGGAATTAGATGTTGGTGCAAACATGAAAGTTGTGTTGGGATGAGTCCATTTATGTCTTTCCTAGAGCCTGTCACTAGAGCTCAGCTCCGGCACAATGCCAGAAAGTAAGGAGTCCAAGGAATCTCTCTCTCTCTCTCTCTCTATATATATATATATATATATATTTATTTATTTATTTATATTTATATTTATATATATATACACACACACATATATACATATACATATACATACACACACACACAATAAGAAAACAAAAAAAATTGTATTTCCTTCCCAATGCACCCCATGTTAACACCATTAGTCCACTACATCCCATCGTTTTCCCATTTTTATGCTAAATTATCTTCCTCTCATATAAAGTCATTTTACTTCCACGAAAGAATATTTAACTTATAAGCAGCTTATAAGTTAAAACCTGTTTGTCACCAATAAACCAATAAGCACCAACATAGAGAAACACCCTCTATGTAAGCTAAAACGATAAAATTGCAAAATGTACCGAGTATATAAAGTATTCATATACAAAACTTACAAGTTCAAACTATATACAAACCTATGTGAAATGAGAAATCCAAGAGATCCACCTAGGATTACTTCAATAAATTCCCCTCTATGTCTACGTGCATGTATAAAATTTACATTTCCCAAAAATTGATGATGTAATGCAATAACTTTAATACATCTCACGTACTTATTCATTTTTTACTTCACCTTTTTTTATAGAATATCAAATTAATAGATATATTTTTTATGGAAAAGTAAACAAGGCCATGCAAAACACGAAGTAGAAACTAGTTGTGTTTTATATGGGATTGTTGGTAAGCAAGTAATTTCGTGTAAATTATATTGTAATAGGTTTTCAGCAATCTTTAGTTATGAAAATATTCACGTTTTTGAAAAAAAAACATAACAAGTTACATACGAAATCAAATCAAGGTGCTATACAATGTTCAGATTTGCCTTCTTTAAGAAAGTTTACATATATTTAAAATATTTAGAAAAATCAACCCATGCTAAAAGTGCTGGAATCAACATACAAAAAGCTTAGATATTAAGCTAATAAATTAGATACTATTTCACCCATGCATTAAACCAGCAAATAATACACAAAAAGCTTGTGATTACTTACCTCTTGGATGTCAGAGACATATGCATTCTGTGCAGATATGTCTTCAGGTCTGAAAAACCTTTGAACCTTGATCCTTACTGATTCAGGGTTAGATTGTTTAAGTGAACAAGAGACTTCCACTTCCAAAAGTCGGCATACTACAAATGCTTCGGGCTTATGGTGCAGGCTATTTACAACGGATTTCTTTCCCTCATGATTCTCCATAACATATTGAGAACTAAAATAGAGAAAGTCTTGAATATTGTACTGAATTCCCCTATATGTAAAGCTTTTCATCGATGTGCATACCGTGAAGTCATTCTTTTCATGGGATTTCCTTGCATTACAAGAGTGGCAATACCCACTTCCAAGGCCCATTAAACCAGTTTGCAGGCTGAAAAATGCACCTTTTTCAGGACAGTACAAACTTCTGCAGAAATATTCTGTGGTCAAACCCTTCATTTTCCTCTCTTCTGCTCTTTCTCTATCGGCTCTCTCATTATCCTCATTATCCTTGCGGCTTAGATAGCCCCATGGTGTCTGTTTGATTTTCAGAACTAACAGTTCTATCACTTCAGAAGCTTCAAACTCAATACAGTCATTTGTAAGGCACAACTCTCTCTTGTCAGCACTGTTCCCAAGGACTGTTTCAAATCCTCCAATCATTACTCTTCCATGGAGAATCTTCCTCTCATCAGAAGCTTCAAACATGTATTCCACAAAACAGATGCAATAGTCGCGATTTAAATGAGATTTTTCCACTAGCACAACACAACCTATTGAAACTAAAGTCCCACTGATGACAACTCCTTCATAGAGAGAATTGTCATAAAAAGTCATCCCAATTGCTTCTCCATCCCATTTAATCTTCCTTTTACAGCCTGACCTTTTTTTACGAGATGGACAATAAGGCATCCACAAATCATCAGGACAATATTTATTCTGCTTTGATCTTTTGATATCCTTCTTTTCATCCTCCGTATTATCTCCGGTAGCCTTCCTTTTTCTTGAAGTAGGTCTGTTCTCCTTAGTTGACTCCCTGGATACATAATTCGAGTAGTACTCTCCCCAGATTCTGTTTATCAATCTTGTAGTTGTCACTGAATTTCTTTTATGACTGATATCTGTTCCCCTTTCCAAGCTATGTTCCTTTTTCTGATTTTGATTAGTATGGTGTTGTTGCTCCTTCTTAGACAATGCCCTCTTTGACACTTTTTGGCAAGCAGTTATATTTTCACTTTTTGCGAACTTATTGGATTGGCTTTGCCTTCTTTTTCTGTTTTCTTTAACATCAATATATGATGCAACAGCTTCGAAAACCTTAGCACTTGGAGTCCTTAACCTTTTCCTGTTAACAAATGAGAAGTAATGCTTAAATAACTGGCAGGATAAACGTTTTAAAAAACAGAACTTAAAAGAAAGTTTGGACATCAGAAATATACAAGTAATTAATAAATATTAGCTCGGGAAGTAAAATTGAAACTCCGTAGTAACTAAAAAGACTATAAAGTTTAGTTTAAAAAAGTACTTGGAAAGCAAACCGATGAATAATTGAAGCACGTATCAAGATTACAAAATGATGCATTTGTACCTAGGTAGTCTGCAGATATAGTCTTGGTACAATGAAAATTTCAGATGAATAAAAAACTGGATCCAACAAACTTTAGCTTTGGTTTAAGAATCAAATTGAAACAATAATGTGCGCCAAAAACAAAGGACCTTTTGCATACTGAGAGCAATAAAAATATATTTTTGCAAAATCTGAAAATTTATGACTAAGAAAATACATAAACCAGGAAAGCAAAATTATATATAGTGTCGGCTTGAACAAAATGCAAATAGGGAAGACATCTTAGAGCATATTGAGAACTCCTATAATATATGACCACAACAATGACCTTTTTTTCTGATAAAACTAACAAATATATAGATACAGTGACATGCATACACTCAAGAGAATCAAAGAATATAATCATGGATGTACATCATATAATCACTTGGGCTAATCATACTTCCTAAGCTAAAATAAGTACTAATACAACATTGATGGAGTTCAATAATCCAGCAATTCCCCGTATAATTGATTCTCTATTTGTGCATATAATCACATATACCACCTTTTTCTGTCGTGTATGCACGAAAGGTCAAATGGCCAGCCAAGGTTAGTGTTGAATATATACACACAGACGGATGGACCCATTCCTAACCTCTCGCATATGCAGAACTTATTCAACAATCAAGAATTATGTACCTTTTAAATTGTCATTCACACATAAACCATTTGAACACCTCCATTACAAACAAAAACCACATAAACGAAGGGAAATGTGAAACACAAATCATGAAAGGAAAATGAGCAAAGTGAAAAACATGCAAACACACCTGCTAATTATTAATGACTCTGCATTCTCCATTCTCTGTAAACTTACTACACCGCCGTTTCAGACCAATATATACTTGTTTTAATGAATCTAGCTACATTTCTCAGAGAAAGGTTTTAACAATTTACGACTACTTTCCCTACCTACAACACTATATGGAAAATTTGGTCTATCCTTAATGTATAAACATAAAGTGAATCTGAAAAATTGGCAACTTTCAATAATTACAATAAATGACATTTGAAAAAATGATGGGAATCCAGAAAAGGGAAACTATTCAATATATCAGTAAACTACTCAGGTCAATAAACCATAAGCGGAAGCCTAGAACTGTAACCACAACTAACATTCTTTTGTTAGCAATATTCCATATGGAGATAATTACTCTGATAGGTAGGGCTGTAAGAGGAACTTATTGGGCAGAGTGGAAAAGGCTGGAAAGAGAATTTGGTATGTTTTTAAGATGAGATATAGCCATTACAAATACGGAGTACTACTTTCTATATTTTAATGTATAAGTAGGGTCAAACCCCCTTCATAATCAACCGTGCTCACCATAAGCCTTCATGTGTGTATACTTACACAGATTATAATGTAGAGAAACATCCACTATATTTATGAAAATGTTATCACTTTTTTCAGCATTCACATCGTTAAGTTACACTCCAGCTTAGCAAGAGTCACAATAACCTCCTCTACTTATTTTTGGACCGCCTTATCACTATGGTAGAAGTTCCCGTGTTTAGGATGTATATTTGTATAACTCTAAAAGTTATATGCAAATTAAATATGAACCATATAACTAAAGTAAAACAAACTTTTTTTCATGTTCTTGGTAAGGAAATTGTGCTGGTAAAAACATTATTTTGGCTTTTATAGAAGAAGAGGTTTATTTAGGTAAAAACATTATATTGGTTTCTTCAAGTGGAGATTTGTAACAATTATCATCTTATCTGTTTCCATAAAAGCCAGAAGCTGATCACACATTTGAAGCATTACTGATTTAGAATATAAATGGAGATTTGTAACAGTCTATCATGTTACACTATTGGCTTATCCAACTTAAAGCTTTCATATTCAATGCTAATCAGAACGAAGGGCATACCTGGATCCATACTTGATCCCGCAAAGAAATTCCCAGAGCTCCAAATATAGTACCCCCGGCCGCTGCCTGAAAGCTCCGACCAAGTAGCAACGGAATTCTCTCCGATTGAACAGCTAGGGTTTTCAATCTTACTGTGGAATAGGGACAGAACTCCGACGCCGGAACGGCTGATTGGCTACTACAGCAGGATGAGTCCGACAACGTAGCGCCAGCGGGAACCATCCCAGAAACCTTCTCCACCGTCAACATCTCCCTCCGCCGCAGCGGGTCCACTCTATAGGCGGGGACGTCAAAAATGAGCCCACGTTCTGTTTTTCCACGGCACATTAGTCCTTTCGGCGAACAGTGATGAGGAAGGTTGCTCAAATAAGCTAGGGTATCACCAAGACACCAAACTCCAAGCTTCTTGACGCCGAACCAGATCGCCGGAGAAACTACCGGCGGCAACCAAACACAGCTGAGAAATAGTGAATTACGCGAGGGAAATTCAACGAAACACAGCTTAGGCCATGGGGTGTGCTGAGCGGGAAAGGAAGGGGAAGGCGGGATTGGGACGGGAACAGCGCCCCCTGCGGGGAAAGGGCGGGGTTCCCTCCAAGTTTTTCTAGTGGGCAATGGTCTAGTTTTTTTTTTTTTTTGAAAATTAGCCATTGGGGCTTTAAATAAATTCAAAAATTTTCAAATTCTCATTATTTAAGAACAACACTTAGCTTATATTTTTTACACACTTTCCATCCATTTTTTTGAGTTACAATGCTATTTTTGTTAAAGAATTTTTATATATTTGAGTGTCATGGATCCATTCCGACCACCGGCATCTTCCTCCGTCTGTCTATTTCCTTTATTTGCGGCTTACTCTCAAGGACCGACTTCTTTCCAAATGTAACAATTTCATGAATGACAAAAAATGTAGTTGCAGCACTTCCAGAACCAATTATTTTCAGAACCAATTATTTAAATTTTATATTTTCACGAAATGTTCAGTTTTATGTTTCTTAAAATGTTCAATTGTTTTATAATTTTAATGTTTATTGTTTATTTATTCGAATTAAAAAAATATTTAAAAATAATATTAAAAATTGAAGGGAAAAAGAGGAAACATTTCCATGGAAGGGGAAAAAAAGGAAAGGGAAAGTAAAAGCTGACGTGAAGTTGATTGGAAGAAAGGGAAAAAGGGAAGTGCATGGGCACATCCATAATCTTATGAATGATGATGTAATCCCGCAAGTAGGATCCAACAAAATTTGATGGTTTATCAAATTGGGCCGACATGACTCGATATTGAATAGAGATATAAATTTTTAAGAGTCATGTTATATTAACTCCACATTAATCCCATTTTTGATCTCAAATGCCTTCTTGAGAGACATACCTTTGACTCTAAATACCTTGAGAGACATTGCAGATACAGAACACCGTTTCGTGTCTGTAATGTCTATGAAAACATTTGGGTCAAAGGTGGGATTAATATATATTTTTTCAATTTTAAATAGTCCAGAAATAAGATTCGGATAAAGAAGCTAAAATTAAATCATACGGAGCACTAAACTGCTTGAATAGAAATAATATAATACGAGTTTTATTAAAACGTTAAACCGTCATAAATCATGCCCCACCCCAACATTTCACAAACGCCCTTCTTCCTGTTATAGGACGGTGGTGTGTCCCGCTCGAGCCCACGACCTTCACTTCTCTGTTTTATACTCCATAATGTATCCTTTTTATTCTATTTTTTACGTTTATATATTTGCAAGTGATATATAGATATAATTCATTATCCTAGATTTTAGAACTCGTTTGATTAGTGAAACAATGTTATGAAGTGAGTTATGTTATCAATAACTAAGATTTCTTGTCAAAAAATTTGAGATATAATCAAATAGAAAATGATTGTTCAATGTAAAACCAGAATGACATGTGGTTTGATATCTCGGATACAATTATTTGATCCACCACCATTGTTGATAGTGGTGGTAAGTCAGTAATGGGTCACCGCCAGCGGTGGCATGTGGCATGCGGTGATGGTGGTTGGCCGGCGACGCATTGGTGGTGGGTGAGTGATAGTGGCAATGATAATGGAGGTCATTAGCGGCAGAGTCAATGGTCATTGTTCGGCAATGGTGGTCATTAGCAAGGTCCTTTCCCTCAGCCTATTATTTTAAATGTTCTGCGGTATGATTTGTACCCCGGAGTATAAAAATTGAGGCTATGGTTATCAATAATAAAATTAGTACTCGGTAAATAACTTTGTTTTTGTTTTGTGATATTCATGTTAGAAATGCTCCTAAATAGAGTGTGGGTACGTGAAATCATAGACCAAGGTGCACAGATAAGAGTGGCTCTTTTATGAGAAATGCAAGGATCACAAACCAAACAAAGAAAAACACACAAAATTCACTAATATTTCTAAAAACAACACTTATTTTTTCTACACTTATACAGTAAGTAATACTCCGCATTACGTAGTACATCACAGTAGAAACAGTTCAAATGAACACCCAAATACCAAAAAAGAATTCAAGAGCTGTTCCAACAACAGAAAACTAATACTACAGTCTACAAACAGCTCAAACGAATAACCCCTGTGTTCTTTTTCACTGAAATCCGGACATGTATGATGTATATAGATAGATATGATGTTGCCTGGGGAGAAATCACTATTCAAATGTCGGACCATGAGATCGGATTTGGTTTTTCGAACGCTGGATTGAGCGCTACTTGGAGGACATGGTGTCCCCAAATTGCATCCAGAACCCCATGGATAGACTCATTATGTTCCGTGCAAACGCGAACACAATGTTATATAAATAAATAAATAACCAAATAATGGATTTAGAAAAAAGTTTGAGATGAGAGAATATGTTTGAAGCTTTAATGTATGAGGGTATCTTTGGTAATGCAGGAGACTCATATTAGCTGAGTGTGAGAGTCACTGGTGTGGATCGATGTGAGGGTAGAGTGCCAATATATGTTCCCGCATGAAATCATGGCGCGTCAAGATTCCAACAATCGGTGGTCTCTGCAGAGTATAAACAAAGCAAATTAAACAAGTTAGCTAGCTACAGAGGAATGGGAGATATTCTTCTTTACTACGAGCATGAGTTCTATTAGGGCCCGTGTGGTAAAATCATTTTCAGCCGAAGAAACTAATAAAGATTTAACTTATTATTCTGTTAATTGAGCCATAAGCATAATAAGTTGAATGTGTCTACCAAACATGGCCTTATTATTCTATCTCCACATACCCCGAGTCGCTTTGGGACGACGCATAAGTGTCTAAGACCGAGCTCCCGGAAGAGTATTGCAGCTTTGGCGAGAGACATCGTCTCCACTACAGTGTACGGAGACGTATTCGTTATAGGATGGAGATCAACGTACATCTCCAACTCCTCCTCCGCGATATCCAAATCCTCGAGTCTAAGCCCCTTTCCTAACCCTGGCTTTGCATAATCAAACACATGAAACCTCTTCAAAATTTGGGATCCCATCAACACCTGCCGCTTGGAGAACTTCTTACCGTTCAGCAAAACTAGCAGATGTGACCTCAAAACAAGCCCGCAAAGTTCTGGTGTTTCTGAGAATGGTGGCTCGTCGATCACGGGAAAACCGTTGTGCCTAGTCAGCGTCAAAGCATGTAAGATGTTTCCCACTTTCTCGACACCAGAAAAGGTGATTAAGGGTCCGGAGCAAACATCCCCTGCAACCAAGTGTTTCATGTAGGGCTCAGCATGGGCTTCCATGAAAGGAAGACCCTTCATCTTGACGATTTGGTCATAGACACCTTTGTTGAAGCAATCTGCCACTGTCTTTGATATGAGCAGAACGAGCATCATGAGTGGGAGCATTAGGAGATCATTTGTGAGTTCAAGGAGGATGACACACAGTGACACCGTCATCCTCATGGTCCCACCAAGAAAGGAGGCAGAACCAAGGAGTGCAAAGAGACTGGCACCAAGGTTGGAGACAGAACTTAAGAAGGTCCCAACAAGACGGCCGTATGAGGCCCCAGCTAGAATGACAGGAATGAAGAGTCCAGATGGAACGGCAATCCCATAAGTGACTATACCGAGGAAGTAAACCCCGGCAAAAAATACAAAAAGAGTTGAGATGAGAAATTCACCCTCGTCACGCGGACTGAACAAATTGCGTATGGCATCATCATTGGTGTTGAGAAAGAGGGAAGCCAGGTCATTGTAGTGTCCAGCTGGACACTGAAAATTCTTGTAGTTCCCAGATCGACCTTTGGTAGGGCATTCCCCCTCTGAACCTGGAGGACAAGGTATGCACCATGCCAACCAAGGAAGTCCAAAGGAGCAACAAGAAGTCAAGATTGAAATCGTCATGACAAGCAATATTTTGAAGCTTGGACCTCTTCTGTAAGATATTAAAGAGAAAAATCAACATCAGAAAATACATAAATAAAGGGGCCAAGACTCATTAAATTGAAAATCCAACTTTAAAAGCAAGGAAGTCTATGTATATAATATACAGAAACATCTGAGAAGAGGACTAAAAGGCCTACTCATTGATGATGCTGTATACTCGAAGAACCTTGTCAACAAGATAGTTGTATAGACTCCCCAAAATACCACCCAGGACTCCAATTAATATAACTGCCAGAAGATCTGCTGTGTTATAGTTAGGCACTGTTGAGTTAGTATCGAACATGATCAGACCTCCTTGCCCAAATAGTCCACATTTCCCAGACCGGCAAAATTGCATAAAAGATCTGAGAACAACAGCCACCACAGCAGTTGTGAAGAAAGTCCTCCAAAGAAGTGCGCTCCGCCACCTAAATTTGAAAATTTTTGAACTATCAAAACTGAGAGGGTGTGACTACTGAGGATACATGCCACAAGCTCACTCTATCTTATTAAAAAATAACCTCTAATTTGCAATTGTATTTTGTAACTGGATTTTTGTTTAGCACCACTTTCATCAGACTAGATGCTTGAATATATTTACTCAATTTTCTTGGTAATTTTTTCTCATATGACAAAAGTACAATATTTCCATAGATGTGTACGTGTGTGTGAGGGAGGGAGAAAGAGAGACCATGAGGCAGCTTCTTCAAGGGCAAAAAGGACACCTCCAACTGGGGCACGGAAGGCACCTGCCACACCAGCAGCAGCTCCACAGGTGATCAAATCCCTACGATCTCGGTCATTTTTGAAGAGTCTCAACCATTTCCATGTCAAGTGATACTTACGAGAACCTCCCTGTCCAAGCAAGTTTGCAATGCAAGCACCTGTGTGAACCATGGGCCCTTCTTTTCCCACAACAAATCCAGCAGCAACCCCAAATATGGAGCCAAAAATCTGCCAATTTCAATGTAGTGCAATGATTTATTTGTCTTCTAAACTATGAAATCGAAAAAAATAAAAGACTACCATATCAGCATGGAAAAAGTGGTTCCACAAAAAAGCAGCAAATATTGAATCTAAAGAAAGAACTGCATGACTCGTAAAGGTTGCACTGTACACATCGCAGCGCAACTTATGGGGAACCTGACAATATTGGCATGGTAGAACACACTAGTTTTGAAGAAAGTGGGGTGCTAAAGATGAATAAAATACTCGTAAAAACATATAAGTGAAACTTATTCAGGGAGTGTAGACTCTGAACCAGAAGCAACTGTTCACTCACTCAAGTTTAATGAGACAAAGCTCCATTGTTGATCATTTTTCCTTAGCTCTAAAAGGTATTTGTTTCACAAGCTAAGTAACTAACACATCCCCAGAGTCATCAATTGCTTTATTATAATCATATAGCATAATATTGAATTGCTATGACTGTTTTTAAGTTTTAAAACAATGCAACAACAACAACAACAACCCAGTTAAATCCCAAAAGAGTAGGGTCTGGGGAGGGTGTGTGTACGCAGACCTTGCCCCTACTCGAAAGTAGAGAGGCTGTTTCCAAAGAGACCCCCGGCTCAACGTCGAAAGTTGCATTGCTTGACTAACTGCTACTTCATTAATTAAAGAAGTGCAGATAGTTTAGAGATCCATTTTGATTTATTCCATCACACCCCAAAGCCAAAAAATGGTGAAATTTTGGCTCCATCGGAGATGATGGAAATAAAAATGGAAATNAACAACCCAGTTAAATCCCAAAAGAGTAGGGTCTGGGGAGGGTGTGTGTACGCAGACCTTGCCCCTACTCGAAAGTAGAGAGGCTGTTTCCAAAGAGACCCCCGGCTCAACGTCGAAAGTTGCATTGCTTGACTAACTGCTACTTCATTAATTAAAGAAGTGCAGATAGTTTAGAGATCCATTTTGATTTATTCCATCACACCCCAAAGCCAAAAAATGGTGAAATTTTGGCTCCATCGGAGATGATGGAAATAAAAATGGAAATTTTGGCTTTCACGGTTCGTATTCGTGAAACAATGCATTTAGAATAATGAACCTAACCTACTACAAACCTTGACAAAAAGAGTACTTGGAGCCAAAATGGAATGAGCATCCACACCATTGAGGTATGCTTTAACTTCAGGAATACCGGATCCAGCAGCTGCAGGTGAAACAAATGCACATAGGGCTCCAGCACAAACAGCTAGAACAAGATTGCAACCAGATAATGTAGCAAAAGCCCAAAAATACCTGCACTAATAGAATCATTCTCTAAATACTTTAAAATATGAGAGGGGAAAAAGAGATAACTGGATCTTATTATGCCGTTCCAGTATTCTTTTGAACCAACTGAATAAAATAGCCAATAAAACTTTTTATGAGCTCAGGTACTTCTGGGAAAATGTACTAGTAAATGAAACCATGTGTTTCCTCTTTTTACGATTTATTCTCACAGCTAGAAAATTACTACCAAATATGGTGTGGCGGGTAAAAAGAACTAGTTCAGAGATCCTTAGGGCATCCACATCTATGATCTCAAAATAATATAATTTTATGTGGTCCCCCACTACCACATTCTTCCAGAAAAGAATCCTTAATAATTTCATACCCCACAATCTCTCTCTAAGTCATCTAAAAAAAATGATTTCTTTTGTGGGAAACTGCCCATTATCACTTTCTCAAATGATCTACATTAAAAACCAGCTACAAGATTATTCATTATTGCTATACAAAACAATCTCACCAAATAATCACTCCCCCTCATCCATGATCCACTTCTCCTGGGAAAAAAACTGGCATCTCACTCACATATTACCATGATGAACGTTTTAAATCTGCTCATAAAGCATCTTCGAAGTAATATCAACCACATACAATGGACAGGCTCTAAATGCTTAACTCTTGTTGGCTTCTTGCAAATGAAACGATAAAAAATAACTTCATAAAATAAGATCAAATGCAGCTAATCTTACTTCCCCTTGAGCATTAAGTCGTTACTAAGCACAAGTTTGAAACCAGCAATATTCTCCACCGCGAGGTTGTTGAAGAAGGCAACAAGCCCTGTGAGCAATCCAATGAGAAATGCAAGTGTCCATTTGAGAAATATGTATTGGAATATCTGAACCTTCTTCCTTGACCTCCAATCCTGCTTAATCAGGTCATTTTCAAGAATCCTGCACATTGAATAAGGATGAACTGTAATTGGAATTCAACTAATTGATATCCTACTGCTATGTGATTGCATATTTGGACAGGAGTTACATTGCTTATACGATGTAGTATAAAAATACCTCCCACCACCACCACCACAACAACAATCAGATCATAGATCTGAACTAATAAGTAATCATGACTGTCTTTTACTGAAAACTGAGAAATGCGGCGAAACAAATGAAGTAGTGACTGCAAAAAAAAAGGCGCACATACTCGTAATCGAGACTTTCGATTGGGCAAATGTTGGCTCCGATAATGGCAATCTGCGAGGTGTTGTTGACTCTGCTCTTGGAATGAAGCAGGGGTTCTCGGAGAATCCCTGCCGCGGCGGCGTCGTCGTCGTCGTAATCCTCCGTCCGGCCATCGTCTGTCTCCGAATTGGCCACCGTGGAATTTTCTATGTCAACTTCATTATTTTCCATAGATGCAAAACTGTGTACTGTGTGTGAAATTAATGTGTCCCGGGACCTAGGACTCCTGGGAGGCTTCAAATCAATGCTCCAGAGATGATGAGATGATTTCCTCCCGTGAATCACAAGGGGGGTGTATTTATATGTGTTGTCAACCCATGATGATGATGATGAAGATGATGATGATGATTTGAAAGGAAAGAGTTACGTGGTCGTCGTGTTTATGAAGGAGACCTCATACATTGAACTGCATCGAATCCTCAAAAAATATTCTCTGTCAAATTGGGGGTTTCTGGTAAGAAAATGGCAAATTGAAGAAGAATACACCAAAAAATGTGTCCCAAAAACGTCACAGAATCATAGTTCAATCAAGGGAAATTTACACCGGCATTTGTGTCAGTGTAAACTATCACAAGCATTACACTAGCACAAAATCTTGGTGCATGTCTTCGTGGTACTGAATGGGATATAATTTTAAGGGTACAAATAGTTTAATTCGAAAAATTAACCTAATTCTATCCAAAAATTATACCCCAAATTGTACACCGGAGATTTGCATATTCCTTTTGAGCCAGTGTAATACTAGGGTAATGGTTCACACAAACACAAAATCGTAGTACAAAATTTTTTAATCGCACTTGATGGGTGTATTCCACCCAAGACCCAGCCCAGATCCGGGCCCATGGTACTTGACCGGTCAAACAGAATACATCGAGATGAGAGTTTTGGATGAATGTACATCTGTGTGACTGTGTCAGTTTGACAAAATATTGACCGGTAGAGTTTCATAACTCTACCGGTGGGATCGCGTGACTTGTTCTAATCGCCTCCTATTAGGATGAGACGCGTGTCGAGTAAACCTACCAGGTGGGTCATCTGGGTGTAAAAACGTCGTCACGAATAGCTTCAAGAATGGTTGAACGGTAGCAGCTAAATCCCACGAAAAATTGCCCATAATATTCTGACATTCCCATCCATACACTATGCGCCAAGGGAATTGCCGTCAGCACAAGCCGACAAGGGAATGAGACAAATGCTACGGGATAAAAGGAAGTCACCTCGCGCCGTCCAGGCACGTGGTCCGACGTGGGCACCCTTTGTCATGTCCCTTAGCCGTACTGTAAATACTGATGTAAACCCTCAGTGCATGGAATCCGAATTTTCAATCTATCTAGAGTTGGCTTTGTAATATGCAACTTATAGATTAAATAACAATCGGGCTACATGTGTTTCCACATACACTTCTACCGATCACCTATCGTTTTTTATGTCTCTTGCTTTATTAACTTAGCAAGTTATCTTAGACCCAGTTCTAGAGTAGTTCACCCGAGTGATAATTTACACACCATCATCACTAATATAGTGTGTTAGTGTGGACAATCGAAATATTAGTGTATAGTTTTAGTGTACACTTTGGTACAATTTCATGTGATACCTCGAGTACGGTTGATTGGAGAAGCAAGTGAATTAAGGTTAAAGAAGCGTACCTAGAAAAAATGTCCTAAAAATATAAAGGATAAAACTAAGGTAGAAGTAAAATATAAAAAATACGAATAATTAAAATAGGATTTTCATATTTTTTATCTCTAATAAAGGAATACAATACCAATAATGCTAATAATATGGGTGACCCGGAGGGTGTGCAAAGTGCCAACCGCACATGGCCCATTAAAATTTAGGGCACCATATTTTTAAATTTGTTAATAAATTTAAAGCAAAAGTATTCTAAAAATATAAAATAGGGCACAAAATGTAAATTTTGGACCGGGCCAATTTTATTTTTCCATTTTTCAGGGCCGGCCCTGGGCTAATATGTAGTACCATAAAATAAGTGGGATACTGAGATACCACTATACAGTGTCACATGTCAAAATGTGAACACATATTTTTAAATATAAAAACATAAAACTCTTATTTTGAAAATAAATAATGTAATAATACGAAGAATATATATATACTTCCTCCGTCCTTAAATAGATTACAATTTTTTTTCTCTATCTTCTCGATAACTTTTGGTTGTTTACGCGATTTCATTAAGTATTTGATAAAATAAAATATTATTGTCACCTCTTGTTTTGTAGAACTTTTAACGTAGTTTTTTAATATATAATTTTTATATCTTATTGATATACCAATTTGTAAATAAAATGATTTCAAAAAGTAAGAAATTTTACTTCGTAATCCGAAATTTGTAATCAAATTGGGGACGGGAGGAGTATTACATTTTACTCGTACTTACGGTGATTTCTAAAATATCAAAATACGAGTACCAAAATTTCATCAAAATACCAAATGTTATTGTTTTTATCTCCTAAGTTGTGGACTTGTGGGAGAAAAAAAGGAGAAACATGTTATGAATTTATAGATCCAAATCTTAAACGGCATGTTATGAACCACACAAGTCGACCAACTAGGTGACGCAGGGGTTAGGTATTTAGTTACTGAGAATGGTTTGTATGACGCACGAGTGCCTTTTTTCTGTTGTGTGCCTATTTAAGTGATAGCACTCATCCATCCATGTTGAACTATTACTGGTCTCAATTGGTGTTTATGAAATTTTAAAATACATATAATAAAAAAAGTGAGTAGTTAAAAGAAATATTTGTACTAAATAGTATTAAAACTTAAGTCATTTTCCTAAATAGCACTTAAACTGTTTTATTTTCTAAATAGCACTTAATAATGTCCAGAAGAAGGAATACTGTCCAAGTGAGGGTGAACATTTACTTGAATATAATGACTAAAAGTGTTACATTAGCAAAAAACACATAATGCTATTTAAGGAAAAATCATTATTTGTAGTGCTATTTAAATAAATTTCCCTAGTTAAAATTTGAATAGGAAAAAAAAAGATTTTAGACCATACATTTTTTTGAAACACAACACACAAATTTATTTCCACAATCAACAATCAGAAAAAAGAAACAACATAACCAGATTATAGCACTAGAGATGTATCACAAGTATTTCTTATTTTACACCACCAATATTTTCATCATACATTTCTTATTCATTTCTCTCTCTTCATATCGAGATCAAAAAATATATTGTGAAGAATATGTTGGAGTATAAATGGGGTACACTAGCATTTTTATAATTAAATATGTTTGGTACTCCAATTGGAACTAAAGTGTGTTTATTTCATATGAAAACAATTCCTTACAAAATAAATAAGTGTGTTTATTTTAGAAGAAAATAATATTCTGACAAAATAAAATAATTCTGAAAATAAAATGATTTCCAATTTTAAAACACTTAATATGACAAAAATAAAATAGTTATGCATTTCAATTTTTAGAACAATTTACAACCAATCTTAAATGTATTGTACAATATATTTCAAAAATATGTACACTAATTTTAAAAAAATAAAAAGTAATACTTAATATACATGAAATACATAATGAACTGTACCAAAATTTTGAATTTTTAAGTACTCGTAAAAGATCACAGTGAGATAAACGAAAATGGACTACTCATTAACTTGAGGACATATATATTAAAAAAAATGTCATATCCTAACAAGATGTCGTTGTAGTATAGTGGTAAGTATTCCCGCCTGTCACGCGGGTGACCCGGGTTCGATCCCCGGCAACGGCGATTTTTTATTTGCTCCAAGTAGCGTTAAAAAATAATTAAGCTTTTATTAGGTTTTCAATAAGTTGACTTAATGCCACGGTGAGCGTTTCCACTTCTCACACGATGACCCAGGTTCAATCCCCAGCCTTGTTTTTTATTTTAATTTATTTATATTTTCCCTTTGAAAAATCCATTTTTCAACAAGTAGCTTTTAACTTGTTTTTTCATTCTTTTTATCGGTTAATTTTGGACGTTAAAAAAATACTCTGGTCTCATTAAAAAGTCTCACATTAGGCTCAACGATATCTTGACCTGAGTAGTGTCAACTTTCAATCACTTGAGAACTTATTTGGCACTGGGAAATATATTTCAAAGCGTTTTTTTGGCAAAGCCAAACACAATAAAGAGAACAACCATTATTTTGCATTGGATTGAAAGGGTTAACCCAAAGTCAAAATCGACACCCCCATAGCACATGCCGAAAAACCAAATAATATGTGCATATATGTGTAGATATAGAAGATGGGTAGATACAACTTCCTTTCACTAGTACAACCTACGATGTTTTACGCTTTTTAACTACCTTCCCAGTTTTCCTTGGGAACGCGAGCTTCACGGCCTCCCTCAATGGGATTGCATCTTCTTCCTTGTCTCCTTCCTTCCAGACCTTGAACTTGGACGCCTCCCCATTTGTGTTGCTCCAGCTTCTCAGAAATGACAGGTTGTACGTCTCGTTCTTCTTGTTCATCCCACAGATGTGCCATACCAGTGCCTCAGGGTCCTCACTTCCAACCTTCTCCTCCTCTGCCTTTTCATCACCATCTTCATCATCATCTTCTTCTTCTTCTTTAGCCATGTCAGCTGTTTCTTCTTTAGCCTGTGTGACATTATTCGTCTCCTCATCTTTGTTTTTGCCATCACACTCACTGGGCTTTTCAGCAACACCATTAGATTTGTGGGGTTTTTCAGTGGCCACACTGAAATCATCATCTGTCTGCTGCATTTGCCTTTTTTCATCTTTGGGAGATTTGTGCATCTGCTGGTTTGGTGGTTTGTTGCCAGGCAAAGCCCCTTCTTCAAGATGATGATCCAAGGAAGGGATATTTGTGTGTTTTTGGAGCTCTTCATGTTGGCGTGAACTTAACATGACCATTCGTTCTTGATTTGCTGTTGTCTGGAGAGGCTGTTCAGTTCTGCTAAGCTCTTTTTCTTCAGCAGTGATCACGGGTGATTCTTCAAAAAAAAAAAAAAGAGATGTTTCAGTACAACAAAAAGTCTTCCATAACTAAAGCAATAATTTATGGTAAAAGAGCAGATTCACCATCATGCTGCCAACATAACTTATTTATGAAGCACAGGTACCACAAACGGCCAGTTGGGATGAAGACTTGGTGTTTTTTGGAGGGCTATGCGCCCAAAAAATCTACGGAGTATATATTTATATTTGAGATTTTTAAATTAGAAACAATAACCTAATAACATGTTCATGTAACCTTTCATTCATTGGTTATTTGCTTTTAGAAACACTAATTATCAAGATATAGACTACACCTGCAAAGCTTCCCCTCCAAAACCCCCTCCAAACAGACCCCGATTGACAGCATATCTTTTGTAAAAAAAATGCAAAGCCTTGACCTCCAAAACCTTCCAAAACCCCCATCCAAACAGACCCCAAAAGACAGAACATCTTTTGCAAAAAAAAAAAAAGAACCTCCTGGAAAATGTTGCAAAATGAGCTTGAAATAAAAATGAAAGTCAAGAATGCCAAAATGGACATTTTCCTGGGCTAAAACTAGACAAGAGTTGCAAGCAACGTTGGGTGAACACAAGAATGGAATCGATCAAAGTGTCAACCCTTACCTTTGGCAAACTCAGGTATTCTTTCTGACAGGGCTCCATTTTCTTTTTTGACACTGTTACTTTCCTCAGTTGGACCGTCAAGATCACCTGTATCTGGAATCACCACAGGGAGTACTTGTAATAGTCGAGACACTTCTCCTGGATTTTGTAGCTTCTGTTTCTTCTGCAAGTACTCAAACAGTGTAATGGAAATAGTCAAGGTAAACTATGTTTTTATGGCGCATATCACAAACCTTTTGTCCATTGCCAATGAAGCAAAAAAAAAAGTCATTATTGACGATGTTTGAACTTTGCTAAATAATGGGCTAAATAAACATAACACATCAAACTTCCCTTCTTACTTTTAACAAGGTTTTGGGTTGTAAATGTAGCAAATGCATCAAGGGTCTAATGGAGCCTCTGTTTTTTTAGAAATAAGGCTGCACACACCTTGGCCCCAGTTGACTATACATGGTTTTGTTGTTGACTTATTGTTGTTGTACCAACTACCAACAGATATTTATGACACACACACACCCACACACATTTATGCATATAATGTATAAATATTAATGACATCTCATAAAGGATATTCGCGCCTCCATCCTTTCTCATTTGCAATATTGATGAGGTTCTGCAATCTTTTCAGCTCCCTAGGAAGCCACTGATATTCAGAAAAGGAAACCCCGTTAGAAATTCATTTGGTTAAAACAATCTCTTGAATACAAAACCGTGTAGTCCATAATGGAGCACTTGTTCAACGTTTGAAGTTGAAAGTTTACACACTAATTAGAATCTGAACCAAGAAACAGAACACTTTTTTTTAACAATAAGCTACTACCACAAATGTTAAACATAAAAAACACACAAAGTTTGGTCCCTACATGCTTGGTTATATCCTCGTGGAGAATTCTTGCTTTCTCTTGCAGTTCAACCTGCATTTTTATGTTAATAAAATTAGTTCAATACTTTCAAAATAAGACATAATAGAAAACTATAGGCAACCAAACACTTACCAAAATAGGTTTCTTTATCAGTCCAGCTTTCACCTTCTTTAGTAACTCTCCGCATTCCTCCTAGATATAAGTACAAGTGCTTACATGTGTTCAAAACAATATACAAAACAAAGGCTCTTCCATAAGAAAATGTTACATATGTAAATGTTTTCCATTTCTTCAAGCACATAGATGTTAAGAATTGTACTAGTACCAAAATGTGGAATGGAAATGCAAAATAACTTGAGATCGAAATGAGCAGAATAATTTGACACCAAAGGGAGAAGAAAAGGTGAAGGGGGGAAGTGATACTGCTACAAGGTAGAGGGAAAAATACTTGGAAACTATAGATCAGTTTGTGTGTAAACAGTTTGGTAGCCTAGACAAACATCATACAGAGTAGAAAGAAAAACACAATAAAATCAAAACGTAAAATAAACAAGGAACTATGTTACCTCAGAAAAATCAGCATCAGAGAGCATGCTTAAGCTAATATCATTCGGCATGTTTGAGACACGAAGCATAGCCTCACAATTTTCTTCACCCACAGATTTACTCGTGATGCCTTTAGAAACTCAAGATAGGATGTAAATCAAATAGATTATGCTATACAAATATTTCGTTCAGAATAATTCATTAGCAGATGGTTATAAAGTCAACCTGTAACTTGCTCAAGTTGAAACGAGTTCCGATAGTGACAACCAATTGGATTGGACTTGAACCGAACAAAACTCCCGATCACCTTTTTTTCAAATGCATCAGGTTGTTTGCATAACTCATGCACCAAACTCTTCTTCAAGTAAACAAGTTTAATATTTTCTGGAATTATGGCAGCATATTTACTCTTGGCCTGGGGTACATCGGCTTTTACTCCTTCCTTTTTGAGAATACCATTGTCTGATTTTTGCTTTTTAGCGTCTGATTCTTCCTTTCTTTCCACTTCAGGTGTTAGTGTGTCTTTCTCATCATCATCTTCAATTTCATTGGACATCTCATCATCCTCACACTCATCCTGGTTCTTAGCAAAGTGACATTCAAGGAGCTTAGGTATTCTATTTTTATTGATCTCCTTCTTTCTGAAGAAGGATTGCAGTTTAGAGTCGCAAATTATCTTCCTTTTCTTAGAGGGATTACTGAGCTTGTTTTCCTTTACATATTGAAGGATCATCCTTTCCACATCGTCCGGTGATCTCTCTTCTGTAGTATCCTCACCAATTGATTTCAGAAACCGTATAAGAGTTTCAGAACCCCAACCAACAAATACCATTTTTTTAGATCTCCCTTTTTCTCGGAAAACAGCCTTTTGTGTTTTTGATTTCTTCTTCTTTTGTCCAGTATTCTTTCCTCCCCAATCATATGGGTGTTCATCATCATCATCATCAGAAAGGAATTGATCTTCTTCATCTTCACCTTCATCAGCAGGCTCATCACAGTCTGATGAAGATTGATCACTTTTGTCCAGGTCTAGTCGCCTTTTAGCTGCATGAACAGTATCTGCATTCAGTCCTTCCTTTTCCTTGATAATCTCATAATACTCTCTGAACAGCCCCTCGTAGGTTTCCCGGTCTTTTAAGTCTACACTTTCCTGAGAAGCAAAAAGAAAATAATAAACTCCCACAACAATCTCAAATTCTCGGCATGATTCATGACAATGTGGTGTTACCTAAAAGAATGTTAATAGTTTCTACACACCTTTTTACTCTAGCTCTAAATAAGGTTCATATTTTTTAAAACAAAAAATTGTTAGGTTCAGATAATTGCTCTCTTATGCATAAAATCTCAACCACCCAAATTCAGTTTCTTAATAATCTTGTCCAATCAAACCCTGATTCGTTTTATGGGCCAGAGGGAGCATTACATAACATTCCATTTTAAAATGTATTGCACTCTATATTGCTTAACATAAACAGCATTTCTGTTTTATAACAGGAATACACAGGCCTACATCTTGACACTGCCACCCAACCAAGTGGCTATTATACTAGGCTTTGTTGTTGCATTGCACTCTACTACTACGGTTCTTTATGCTCCTCATGTAAAGAATTCGTTAGTATTGATGCATAGTTGAATTTGCATTTTATTTACCGTGTTCTACGACAGTAGCAACAACAACAACCTAGTATAAACCCAACTCCATTAGGTCCCGAGGAGGGGGTCAAGATGTACCCAGTATTGCATTAGACCGTAGATGCAATGATGCAATACTACCCAAAAGTTCATAGAAAGTAAGAAGCAAAGGAAGTTCAATGTGCCAGTTTGATTCACGTCCGCTACGTACCCAAAACTAAAACATTGTAAAAAATGATAGCTCCATTGGCAATGGAAGGAAGTCCAAGCTATTCTTTTCAAAAAAAAGAAAAAGGAAAAGAAAAGTATTCCTAGCAATCACTGTCAAAAACACAAGACTGATAATTTCAAAAACAATCCTTGAGCATACCCCTTCAGAATCAACATCTCTATTTTCCTCCACAAGTACTGCTAGCCTTACACAATCGTTGCAGAACCCATATTTGTCTTTAACACGCACAAATTTTGCGTTCTTTAGACACCGACGACATACTGCATTTGGACAGCAGTAACAACGGAGGATTGAAGATCTGCGGCATATCAAGCAGGAGTGCCATTCTGGGAACGAAATAGAATTATAACAGTACGATATAAATAGAACTTTCTCCTAAAAAAATAGAGGTTTAAATGCACACACATATGAAAGTATTAGTTGCTTTTAAAAGATGAGTAAATTCCCAAAATGGTCCTTTGTAAAAAAGGTGTTTTCCCAATTCAGTCCTTAATAATTTTTAATTACCTACGTGGTCTTCTATAATTGAGATTTATTTCCAAGATAGTCCTTCGTAAATAATGTTACCCAAATGATGATTATTTGGGAGATATTTTGGAATTTTGATCATCCAAATTTAAAGTATATTCTCAAAACAATCATTTCTGCACAACTAAATGTAAAATTTAAAAAATACATTGACTATAAATAATTCATGAATTATTTAAAACTTATAAAAAAATCTTTTAAATTTCAAATCATATACACATATTTAATTAGAAAAAACTATTTTGGGAAAGGACTTCATTATAAATGATCATTTTAAAAATTAATTCTAAATTTAGCGGATAAAAATACCAAAATACCCTTAATTAATCATCATTTGAGTAACATTATTTATGAAGGACTATCTTGGGAATAAATCTTAATTATAGAGGACCACACAGGTAATTAAAACTTATTGAGGACTAATTTGGGAAAACATCTTATTACAAAGGACTATTTTGGGAATTTACTCTTAAAAGATTGTCTACTATTGAACTAATGTAATATAAACGTAGTGGTGTAGCACTAATACTGCAACCATAAGAGGTATTCTATCCATAAGCTTTCATTAGCGCTTGATTCTGACAAAAGATTGTGCAAATAACTAGCCTTCTCTCACTCAAAGGCAAACAATCTCATTTCGCACATGTAAATAAAATTGAGGAAGTGTGTGCAAATTTATTATTGACTCCTTTAAATAAAAGATTAGAAAAAGAAACATCATGAGAAAAGAATACAATATACATCCATGATGAGAAGCTGATTTAGCAGAATAAGAGATAAATTTAGTACGCCCTCCGTCCCACTATTTATGGGATATAGGGAAGGTGTCACACAAATTTAGGAAAAATGGAATTGTTTGTTGATATTGAACTGGTAAAGTATGAATTGACGAGCCAGAAAAATCATACCAAATATGATATGAGACTTAACTTTTGGGACACTCTGAAATGGAAAGATTAAAATAAATAGTGAGACTGAGGGAGTATCTTACTACATGTCCAGCGTTGATTACTTTTCAAGGCTGAATCATCTTTCCCTACACACTCTGGATGGTAAGCTTTAATACACTGCCTGTAAGGAAAAAAACACACTGAATTGTCAACTTTCCATATAAATAAGTGGAGAATTTAATTCAATTAGTGGATACTTTTATAATCTAACAAAAATAGTATACACACTGTACGTAGTCCCACATCGCAATGGAAGCACTCTAGGTTTCCAAACACCCCTTTAAAAGAGCTTTAGAGATGTTTTTCAGTGAATAAAAAGACCAGAGTGATATGTTCAGGGAAGGAAGCGCCACATTAGGCAATGCATGAGCCTAGCAAGGATAGCCATCTGAACACATAACTAATTCAGTTTATTGGCATCTAATAGTTCA